AATTTACTTTGGAAAGCTCGTCTCGGAAATTAGCTCGACTCTTTCCTTTCGCCCTCGAAACGAACCTGAAAAATTAAACCCAAAAAATACGGAAAAGTACGTCAAAATACAAAATAAAAGATAAAACATAAAATCACACAAAATGCGACAAAATGGACCGGTCGACTCAAAAACGAACCTAGAACCGACTCAATAACATAAATAAACACATAAAACTAAGCACAAAAACATAACAAACATGTCCGTCAACAACTATCTAGCTATATTTAAATTTTTATATGCTAAAAAAAAAACATTCATCAATACTTCATCATATTGAAAATTTTATTTTGAGTAAATGAACTTTAGAAGTAACTATAAATTTAGTTATTTAATTATTGTATGCTTTAAAAAAGCCAACACTCATCAATACCCCCCTCATATTCAAGATTTTATTTTTAAATCAGTTTTAGAAGTAACTCTAAATTTTAATTAAGACTAATTTTTTGCAACTAATATTAAAAACTTAAAATTCAAAATATATATATATATATATATAATATAGTTTTTTCTTAAAGAAATATTCTTTAACTTTTCACACCATTTTAAATATCTTTTAATAACATAAAAAAATCAATTGTAGATCAAGTATCTCTAAGAATGAAATTTAAGTAAAGCTTAATTGTTATTACTTTTTAATTTAAAAATTCTTAAATTATATAAGATCAAAGTTGATATAAAATATATCAATAACACACATTAATGTTATAATTCGGTTTTTAGTTTCGGTTCTTCGGTTCAATACGGTATGTGATGGTTCGGTTCAGTTCGGTTCTCGGTACAAATATTTTTTATATCTCTGGAACCGTACCAATTATTTTTTCAGTTTGGTTCGGTTCGAAGTGATTTCTGTTCGGTTTTCGGAATAGGTTCGGAATCCTCCGGGCCTCATGTTGAACCCTACCTACAAGGCAAAAAATGTTGTCTACAAGGACATTTTAAATAATATATAATATGATTTTATTTATTTATTTAAATTTTTTTATTCATGAATACAATAATAAGATTCATGAGTAAATAACCTTAAGGCTGTCTACTCCGGCACGGGTTCTGCGCTAGTTGTTATAGGAATTAACATGTGCGTTTTTAAAGATGCCTACATGGCAAAAATTTATTTTTGGTCCTCTAACTTGTCCACTGTCCAGTTTTGGTACACTATTTTGTCTCTTATAAAAAATGGTCAATTATGTTACACTTTTCATCAGTTTTAGTACACTAATCCTGTAGTTCAGAATTACGAGATAACAAATCAGGTTTTTATCCTACCACGTCAATATCCTATCCCTCCACATAGTTCTAATTCTGGTCCACGTTATCTCGTAATCCCATCAACTGAAATAGTGTACTAAAATTGATAAAAAGTGTAACATAATAGACCATTTTTTATGAAGAAAAAAATAATGTATCAAAAATGAAAAATGAAGAAGTTAGCGGTCCAAAATTAGATTTTTGCCCCCAAACACACGCGAAATCATCCAGAACACATTTGATATATATCATCATATTAATTCATAATAAAATAAGGGGTACACTCGGCTGATGCGGACACGTGTTGCAACACGTGTAAGCTCGACCTACATGCATGCCGCACCGTAAATCCCCAAAGCAACTCCATAAATAGCATAGCCGAATAAATCACGATTCACCGCTACAATCTTACACAAAGAGCGATAAGTGTATTAAGGCTCGTCAGTCTTGTTTCTCATCAAAAATTAATATAAATTCTATATTTAGCTTAATTAGAACAAAAATGGCAAGAACTGTGGCAAGGACTCTGGCAGCACCGCTTCTGCTGATCAACCTGATCATGTATTTCATAGTCTTGGGCTTTTCGAGCTGGTGTTTGAATAGGTACATCAATGGCCAAACCGCTCATCCGAGTAAGTTTCCCCTCACAAATCTGCTTCTATTTATATTGCAAGTCGCAATAGTTATGGCCCGTCAACCGGCCCGCCAAAAACCAAGGGCCGGAACGGGACCAAAAGTAGAAAAACTGGACCCGGACACGACCCGTAAAGTCACGGTGACGGTTCTCGGAACCACGGGCTGGTTGCGGGTCGGGACCACGGGCCGGGCTGGCGCCATGTCTAAGTCGCAAGAGTTTTTTCATTGCATAAACTTAATTGATATGTGATGTTATCTCTCTACAGGCATGGGAGGAAATGGGGCAACTGGGTTGTTCTTGACGTTTGCGATTTTGGCCGCTGTTCTCGGGATAGTGTCCAAGATCGCCGGCGGCAACCACCTCAGGGCGTGGAGGAACGATAGCCTTGCGGCTGCCGGATCGTCTTCCGTAGTTGCGTGGGCCGTCACAGCGCTTGCTTTCGGGTGAGTTGGTTCCTTTGTTATTTAAGTTTGAGCTAATGTTTAGCTGAGTGGTGATTTTTTTGACCTTTTTGTTCTGTCAGTTTGGCTTGCAAGGAAATAAACATAGGAGGATGGAGAGGGTGGCGTTTGAGGGTGCTCGAGGCTTTCGTCATAATACTCGGTTTCACCCAGCTGCTGTACGTGCTGCTGCTGCATGCCGGGTTTTTCAGCAGCAGGTATGGGCCCGGGTACAGGGACCCAGATTACGGCATTGGCGCGCCAGGGACCGAGGCGCGCCCTAAAGCTGGGGTCACAGGGACAGCGGTGTGAAATGTACCCCACTCGACTGGAGATGCAGGGATATTATGTCTAGCTATAGGCAATTTGAAATGTTTTTAAGTGTGTTGTTTATGATGGTGTTGTAACCTAACTCTGCACAAGTACTTGTGTTGGTTTTGCTTTGTTCTTTCTCGTGTACTTTCTGTTATGTTTTTGCTTGTGGAATTTATGTTTGTTGTGGATGATAATGATTTGTTGCTCGTGGGCGTGTGCTTTGTGTAGAGTAAGTAGTATGCTTATATATTGCCAAGACCTTCTAAATGGTGTTGAAAGAACTGTGCGGGGAATGTTAAAATTTCATGGGAAATTAACCAATTGTGGACTAACATGTTTACACCTGAAATACATAGCCAAACCAAGGGACGGTTACCGAGTCGTTTGCTAGACTTCAGGGAAAATTAACCATTGGTGGTCTGTTTACAACTAGAAATGTATAACCAAACCAAGGAAAGTTGGACCGAGTCCTTTGTGAGAACTATATATGCTATACATTGTCGCGCCCTTGTTACTCGTTGGAGACTTGTATCTAGCTAGTTATTGTCGCGCCATTGTTTCTCGTTGGAGACTTGTATCTAGCTAGTTAAGTCTGCATTACAGTGCTTATGTCGGGAAAAATACTCGGCCTCAAAATGCTCGGTTATGTCTGGAACATGGTGGTAAATTCCTTGATATAGTTGCATATGGACACCCTCAGTTTCGGTTGGGCCTTGTGTACCACATTCTCCAGATAGAAATGTCGCTCGAGTTTTTCGACAAAGTCCTCCCATGTGTCTATTCGACACGATACGGCTCCGTACGGCTCCGCTTAGTGTAGTCGTGCTTCCACAACAAAGTCCTCCCATGTGTCTATTCGACACGACACGGCCCCGCTTAGTGTAGTCGTGCTTCCAGCGCCACCACAACATAATAGGAAGGTAAAAGGAATCAGTCATTACCTAGAAATGTTGCTTAGGCTCTGCATCACAACATAATGGAAAAGACAAAGGAATCAGCCATTACCTAGAAATGTTGCTTGGGCTCTTAGACAGTCCTCCCACGTGTTCCGGCACGGGCCTTGCTCAATAATGTGTGTCTGGTTCCACAATATCAAAAAGTGAAGTGAAGTGGGACTTTAGACTTAGTGACATAGTCTGTGAGATATATGCCCTCAAAATATTTTTGCATCTTCCATAATAAGTTGTCTTACGCCATTGTAGCCTATCGGCTTTGGACACTCGACCCTGCCACTTGTCTATCCGACACGGCCTCGCTCAATGTAGTCTGCTTCTAGTGCCAACACAGCATAGCACTATCAAAAAGGTAACGGAAGCGGTCTTTTACCTGAAATGCTGCTTGAGATCTTAGACAAAGTCTTCCCACTTGTCTATCCGGCACGGGGCCTGCTCAATGTTGGCGTGCTTCTGGTAGCACCACAAGTAGCAGTATCAAAAAGTAAAGAGAAGTGGGAACTTAGTAGCCTCGGCTGTGAGATATATACCCTAAAAAATTTGTTGCATCCTTCATAAGAAGTTGTCTTACACCATTGTAGCCTATTGGCATTGGCGTGGAGCTTCTACCATCCCCACTAGCAATCCCCACTAGCAAACGCCTTTTCATAGACAATGAGATACGCATCCCTCTATGCTTGCTTGGAGATCCTTCAAAGGGTTCTCAAGGTGATCCAAGCGGTCTTCCAGTGAGCTTTGCGCCTGGATATCCTTCAGAAGGTCCTTCAGGTGATCATGCAAGCTTTTCTCCATGGAGCTTTGTGCCTCGAGCTCATTGATGATGGTGTTGGAATCTATAAGGATCTCGTTATGTACAAGTTACGAATTCAATAGCAAACGAAACATATATATGCGCAACGGATCTAAAAGTTTGACAAACAAAAACTGAAAGAGAAAGAGGGAGAGAAAGGGTGTGCGTGTACATAATTCACATATAGGAGAATTCTGATCTCTTATTCTCTTTTTCATGAGCCTAATGAGATATATATATATATATATATATATAGAGTTACAGTAGACACCCTTAAGAGAATAGGAATAGGGCTTCTTAAGTAATTGACTAACTGTGGGTCTTGCCCACTCCTCCGATTACTTCAATAATATTATGGTCCACTAACATAATATTATTGCACTCTCTTTTCCTAGTCCAAATTACATTTGAGACTCCAATAATAATTACCCGAATTACATCCTCATGTTTAAGATATAATGTTCATTAATTAATTCAATTATTGATAATCAAGAATTAAATAAATATATTATTTATTTCACTGAAGCTAGCGCTCGTTCATCACATTAATATTATTATGCCGGAATTTAATCCAACTGCAGGGTTAGACATAACAATCCTTCATGAACTCACTTCGGGACATCATCAAACTAAACGTACATGGTGACCGTAAATATCCTAACAGCACATCATACATACAACAATATTACCCAAGACATTAAGAATATTAGTCAAGCTAACTGAACCTCACCCAAGTGAACCAAAGTAATATATATTGCATATATATGTTTGTTTAATATCTTACGGTTTAAGAGAGCGCAGTAATTAATCGAGGTCTAGTTCGTTTACGACGATCAGTATAAAACGAACTTCTCCTTTATGCGATCTGGTTCAATACATAAATGTACTAGTGAAACTAATCAATCAAGACCAGTTGTACCGTTGACACTACAACCGTTCGGATGGGGTGTTCATTTCCATCTAGGTTGTGAATTGTTAATTCTTGTTTCGCAAGTAACTGATAGAATGATCTTCTGTTCGCCCAAAGTGCAAAAACAATAGAACAACATAACATAGAACTTGCTTAATCAAACATGATTCTCATTCAAAAAAGTAAAAGTTTAATATCATCCAAAGCTAAGCTTTTAGTATATAACACTAACAGATGGTACCTTTTGTTGGGTTCTATAACGAACGTCGTTAACGTGTACATAGAAATTTATCAAAAATAAATTCTAACGAAACAGAATCTAGTAAGGATCATGACATATGGTTTAACATTTTTTCGACTTTGTACATACATACACGGCCCATGGGGTCAAACAAACGGTACTGAGTTATTTTTCGCCCCAAACTTCTCTTCCTCTCGCCTCGTTGCTTGTACCCGTCTCGTCGAGTCACTCGTCCATCATAATCACCACATCACGTCTGTCAGTGTTCGAGTTCGCTTGCATCGCCTTAATCTTATCGGGCTTCTATCGGACCGCACCCAAGCTGCTCGTGGTGGTTTGGACTTGCCACAACTCGCTTGGTGCGTGGATGGCTTGTTGGGTTCTATGAGAAACGTCGTCGATGTGGACATTCAGATTTATTAAAAATAAACTCTAACGCAACAGAATTTATAGTTAGGATCGGCACTTACGGTACATTTTTACCGACTCTAAGACGTTTATGGTTTTTGATGATCGAGATCGTCTGAGCTTTGTTGAGTCATCGTAGCATTCGAAAGAGTTGCACCTCGCCCATGTTTCGAATTTCTTGTCTTCTGGTGACTTGGTACTCATGTCGGGCCGTCCAGGGTCTCTGGTGGCTGACAACTCGCTCTGGGTTTGTCGTGGGCTCATCGTTGTGAGTTGGGTTGTCGGATATCACTACCGGCTGGACCGCATCACTGATGCTGGGTCTTTCCTGGTTGGCCTGCTCCCCGACGAGCTCAGGTCCTTATTTCTCATTTAGATCGACTTATATCCTGAAGTACTCTGCTGAGCTCCTTGACGAGGTCGAGCACTCATACCTTGCCGAGGCTCCTTCAAACCGATCTTATCCGAGCTAACCACTCAAGTCGGTTCACCGAACAATCATGAGCTAAAATGCACTCTCGTAGATTTGATAACTTTGAGTTTTAATTTGATATTATTCTTTCTTTGTTCTCAAACTATAATTGTATTTAAACTGAAAAAACTCAAAACAAGTACACCCGAGGTGTCAACTGACACCAAAAGAACCAACACAATGACTAGATCTATCTCCTTGGACTTACACAGTCAACCCAGAGGATGCAATCACTCGGATATACAAACAAACTCCAAACGGAGACAAAAAAAACTCTAAAAAGTAGATAAAATAACTCCATAAATGAGAGCAAAGTTAGATACTTCCATCCAGACACAAACACCCTACCCAACTAAAGACAATAACCGAAGAAAAACCGAAAAAAGTTAGACCCAAGCCCTCGACACAAGTCCCGAAACTCCAAACTCTGAAACTCAGAAGGGTATGGCTAACTCGACCTGCATGTACATAGCCGAAACCTCCTTGCAGACGGCCATCTCCGAAAAACAGCTCCGAGACCCAGCCAAAGTCGCCTCCCCCAAACAACACCTGCAACAACCAAACCAACGACTGCAACCACCCAAAACGCGACACGAACCGCCGGCAGAGACCGTCCATCACCACTCCCAAAGGAAACAAACAGAATCTAGGGGAGGAAACGTCGTCCCTAGCATCGGCCACCGAAAGGCAACAACTGGAGCCCGCGAACCCATCGCCACCAACCTGTCACTGGCCAAACCAGCGCGAACCGCCCGTCGACCAGTGAGATCAACGTCTGGAGTTTGGACTGAAAACCGGCAACAACAAGGTGAACAACAAAAATTTTGTTATATTCCAAAGGAAAATCCTATGGTAATATAATCCAATAGAAATTTCTATAGTTCCGTTGGAATGATTTCATCGAAAATTTCAACGTCATTTTCGTTGGAATGTGTTTTTCGTTGGAATTTTAGATGGAATTTGATGATTCCAACAACTATATTTCCAACGACTTTTTAGCGTAGGAATTTTCGTTGAAATTTTTATTTTTACCCCTGTTGGAAAATCAACTGTTGGTATTGTCGAAATTCAAAGAAAATTCCAGTGAAAAACTAATTTCAACGGATTATTATTATTGGAATTTCCGTTGGTTATCTATTGAAAAATTTAACGGAAATAATAACATTTAAAAATATCAATTGAAATTACCGTTTGAATTCTATTTAAATATATAATCGATGAAA